CCAGCCAAAGAATTATTTTCCTTGTATCAGGCCACAAGTGTCCAATTGGAAAAAGCTCACTCTGCTTTATACTTCAAGAAGTACCCTGAGAAGAAGAAACTATCATTTAAGATCCTTATCACTGACATGGGTCTCGGCCATTCCAAATCCCTGACATATGTTTCTGTTTCCTAAGATATTGTCACTGCTGTAGTCATTTGATAAATATATAAATTGTGTGAAGGTGATATACACCTGTCTTACCTTTTAGCAAGATTTGTCTTCATTTGATAATAACTGAATTACAGCAACATGGATTTATGAACAACTTCACAATTGTTGATGCAATTGAGCTTATTGTCAAATTTGATGCCCTAAAACTCCAGACAGTCAAAGCCTGCAAGAAAGCAATATGGAGTGAGGTAGTCAAGTGCATCTCTACAACTGATAAAGTGAATGAGATTTTCAGGTTGCCAGGAAATTTGGTAGAGAAGGCTTCTCTGATATGATTGAGGAAGATGTTGAACAACACGGGGAAGACCATTGAGAAATTCTAATTAACAATAACCTGGAAAAACTGCTAAAGTTGCCAGTGGAAGAGGAAGAAGCTGTAGTGGAGGCTCATCCATCCCTGTGGACACTGTAGAAGTTTTTCACCAGGTCTAAATTTTGAAAGCATACAACCTTTTGGAATGAATCTTGTGTATTGCCCATGCAATCATAGTTGACATTAAGCTACTAAAAGTGTTGTTTGATCATGTCAAGAGAAATAAGCAGCTTTCTACAATTGTATTGTACAAAGAAATCCATAATTGTGAAGCCTCATTCCACTATCAGAAATCCTAGCCCATCAACCTCCATAGAACCTGACATTATACTTTTTCCAAAATATTAGCATACATACTTTTATATGAAAGTTCTTATGGATGACAATGTTTGGGAGTCTTAAATGTACATGGTTTTTAAATAATGTAAGGGTTGGGGAATCAGTTGAAAATGTAAGAGTATTGAATGAAGAAATTTGACTTGTAGTTATGTATTTTACCTTGCGTGTGGATAATGCAACAGTTCACTGTTTTCCAATATATTCACAATTTGATAACAATTGTATAGCGAAGAAAACGGCGACTTGCCTCATCAAACCAAGCGACAGCGCGTTGCATGTATTCTACAACAGAAAATGTGGCGAAAAAGAAAATTACTTACCAAACAAAAGGGCATGTATTCAGCATGACATGCTGAAAATGGAATATTTGAATTAAAAAACCAAAAAACAAACAAGTCCATCACAGGAGTCTCTATAAAGTATGTTGATATGCAAATTACTGAACATCCTCTCCCAGCTGTCGACGAATTGAAAAGAAAATGTTCGGCCGATAAAAGCAGTTGGTGTTCTCGAATCTGGGGAAAAGTCAGTGATTTGGGTTGCCGAGGGAGTTATTTTTCTGACTGGTTGCGTGCATTGTGATTTGTGAAATAGTACTTGCGAATCGAATTTTCGGCATTTTCTTTCTGTCCGCGATGTTCGAGTCTGAACTTAGTGATTTATTCTCAGCGAAGTGGAAATAATCTGCGACAAACATTTCCTTTGCAATCCCAGATCACTTACAAATTGAAAACCATAACCAGTAGTAATATAACAGACTTTAGAATTAATCCAATCTTTTTGCATGACAGAAACTAATTAAACTCTTGTTTTAACTTTTTGAAAATTATATTTTGATCCTTTGTACAATTTAAATAATGTAAAACTTAGTTTTCTTAACTTAAATAAACAATGGTAAGTGTTGTAACAGTGTCATTACAATATAATGCAGAGTGGGTTAGACTTCAAATTATTTCTTTGAAGACTTGTAAACCATAGTCCTCTTTTATCATATTATTTACTTTGTTTATCAACTTTTGTATATAACGGTATTGGTTCATTCTGATTGCCTTGCCTACATATATGAATTTCATACCAAAGAACTAATTTCTCATAGGGCTTCTTTACATCAGTGAAAATAAAATTACAGATTGTTGCATTAATATTGTCAAACCAAATAACAATAATTATTTTATCTTATAGCATTTTTCTACATATACAAGGATTAGCAAGATTGGAGGAAATATCAATTAATCAAATAGAAATGCAATATAGTATTTCAGTTCCATCCACTTTGATTCGGATCATATAAACTTTTTAGAATATGTTCCAATTGTTAACCATTTTTTCTCATTGCATGTCCTTTGTCACATTACATAACGCAATATTTTACTGCTTCTCAACTATGCATAATACCATTTTGTTATCACACCATTTTCTCTTGCACTATTATTTCTATCTCTTGAAAACATCTTACTTCTACCTTGAATTCACTAAATGTTAAGCATTTTTGAGTAATGATAATGGTAAAAGGTTTGCATTCTGACAGAAATATGTTTAATACCCAGGCAATTAATAAGCTGCCACTAATGTTTACAACAACCACTTTAGTAAGCAAAGAAAACCACATTATTTTGAAACCTGCAGTAGTGTGACATGCATCTGGTTAAATTCTTCTTTCTGCAATGATGTTCATTTTCAATGATCTGGATTTCATCTCAGAGTAACATGTACTCTTTCCCTTCCACACATGGTCAATCATAGATATTTTTTGTTCTTCAACACTGATGTTTTTGGCCAGAACACTCCCCCAATGCACCTATCCCATACACTAAAGAAAATCTGTGTTCTGCATAGTGAATATCAGGCTTAATAAAAAGCTTGGGATCAATTAAGTATCTAGGCAACTTTAAAATGAAAAATTTATTTTTACAAGATATTAAAAGCTAAATCTGGTTTGGAGAATGAAATCAATCACTTTGGTATAATGGAGTTTCATAGTGTATTTAGTGCTGTCTTTCCCAGTTAAAGAAATATGTCAATTAGATAAAGTATCTTTATTATTTGGTTTGATATTATTATTGAAAAGGCTATAATGCATCATTTTTTTTCAAAACCTTTTTATTTGTTACATTATATATATATATATATACATATATATATATATATATATAAAAAAGAGGGTGATGAAAATTACCAAACATCAGGATTTTTTTTTTTTTTTTTGTGAAGTCCTTCTTGAGAATTGATTTATTTAATAATGTAATTATAGTTGATTAGTAAAATATTTTATTCTTAAAAGTCTAACAAAGAGTTTTTGTACATCTTTATTTTTTATTTATAAGCATAATTTCCAATCTTTCCTTTGATTCAATCTTTCCTTGGATTCAATCTTTCCTTGGATTCAATCTTTCTTAGTAAGCTGTGTAATGAATGTACTCTTGAATGGCCACTCCTAGATTTTTTGCATTAAAAGCAGTCTTCCCCAGGATCTATTCTTAGACATACTCTATTCTTTATTTTCATCAACAACCTTCCCAATGTTATCAATTCCTCACTCTGTATCTATGCTGATGATACAATTATTCACTCCTGTCTTAATAGTATATCTGATAGGTTCAGTAGAGTCAAATTGGTAGGTGATTTAAAAAAATGACCTACAATCTGTTGTTAACTGGGACAAGTTGTAATTTGTTAATTTTAACATCTCCAAATCAAACTGCTCTCTTTAATCATCTTAAAGAACCTTTTTTACTTTCCATCAGCATGGCCAATGCTAACCACCAGGAGAGTAACTCATTGCACCTTCTTGGTCTTGCATAAAGTGGAACTATTATTGTAAATCAATTGTTAAGCTTTATACCAGGGAAGTTAGTTCACTATGTTGGGCTAGATTATTATTCTTGCCAGAATCTATCTTGCACATTTCTAAGTCTACTATTTGTCTGAGCATAGAATGTTGCTGACACATCTGGTCTGATACTTCTGCTATGTATCTCTAGATTCTTGGCAAAGTTCACAGAATCTGCAATGTTATCACTCCTGACCTGGCATCTCGGCTTCAGTCATTTTTCCACCACTGCAGCATAGCTTCCCTGTGTCTTTTCAATAAATGTTTTGACAATAATTATTCTGATGAGCTTTTCTCTTTGGTACTTCGACTTTAAGTGTAGTACTAAATTAGCAGCTAGTCTCATAATATCACTTATAAAATTGCTAGTTGTAACCATAAGTTCTATGCTAATAGTACCTTCTCCCACACTTCTCACTTGTGGAACACTCTTCCTGCTTCCTACTTTGCTGTCAATTATGATTTTTCAAAAATCTAAATGCAATGTCATTGCCATCTGTTTCCTTAAATCCTTTTTTTGCTTTCAGTCAGTCCTTGCATTTGAGTAACTTATTGGCTTCTTGGGGTGAAATGATTTAAAATAAAATAATACAATGATCATTCAGAGGCAAATACCAAAGTTAGATAAAAAAAAAATTGTTTACTGCTGAAATTGGAAATATTCAAAAAACAGTACCCCTTGAGATTTGACTGGCTTTTACCAATTTGCCATTTGTGATATTAAACTATTGATTTCTTGACCATTTGACTTTGCGTCATACTAACAGTCAGTTCTGCTTTTTATAATTTTTTTTTTTCATTATGATTTGCAGTGCATTAGATATTGAACTATATAGTAAATACACTCTCTTGGATAGTCTAATCTTTTGTACAGATATTTATCTTAATCACTCATTATTTAATATTGGATAGATCACTCTAAGCACATACCTAATGGCATGATCATATTAATGTATATGTTTATTAATATTAGTTTTAGACAAAATTAAAGATTTTATCTCAACTTGTTTATGTCAAAATTACTTTGCAGTAATTATAATTCATTAGGCTTCAGCAATTACATGTTTCTATTTTATTATAATTAAATCTATCCATTTAACATGATTTTATTTCCAGTCTTTCATTTAATTTCTTTTCTAGTCAAAATTTTTAATTAAAGCAATACTCTCCCCCCCTCCTTTTTTTTTTTTTTTTTTTTTTTTTTTTTATTGCATAGTAAGCTTTTATGCTAAAAGAGAGAGGGACTTTCAAAAAATTCAGACTAGCTTTTAATTTTATTTTTTTGCATTTTTTTTTTTTTTTCAGCTTTTGCAATGTAACTGTTGAGCCAGTTGGATCCTGCTGTACTTTGATTGCTGATGAGATTTTTAAGGGTTCTTATTCCAATCAAATTGATGTCACTGTAGCAACTTTACTCTTCAGTGAGTATGATACTTGTCTGTATAGTTTTCTTTCAATTATGAATTTTAAATTGTAAGTGCTTCTCTTTCTTCTCTATACTCTTTGTATATTATTCTGTCAATATTAAAAATATGCTTATTTGTTACTAGCAGAAAATCAACATCTAACAGAAAATCTTTTTCTCCAAATTTAAAATGTTTACTTCTCTTGCAGTGATTGTGTGATAAAAAGAGATGCTCAGAAAATTAAAACTTTATACTTATAATCCTTACAACTGCAAATTGTAGTTATAAACATTAGTATAGATTTCAGTTCTTACTTATTTTTTGTAAATTTTTAGGTAAATTGGTAAGTTGATCTCTAAAAAGAAATTTGAAAATACATAGTTTTCTGCTTGGTGTTTTAAAATGAAAACTTTAAAAGTTACTTGGTAATCCAAAAAGATTTATTAAAAAAAAGTAAAATTGGCATTAATAAATTAATATTTTTCAAAAAACCCTCAAATGTACTCATATTTTTCTTACCACCAAAAAGTTATTAGTCTTTTGAAACTTTCCCTCATAACATTGTCTTAATATTACTGATATTTTTGCAAAGAATCACCAATGACTATTTTCAAAAGAAATGATTTATAAATCTGTCTAGAGATTCTCCATTAGCAAAACTACAATTCCAAAAAGCATAATGTGTAGAAGAAAATAAAATTAAAATATATTTATGAACTTGAAAAGAACTTCAAAGAATCTTATATGAACATTGTAATATAGAAAAGTTATTGACAGACCATATATGGCTTGGGCAAATATAGTCTATTTAGTTTTGTTTTTTCTTTGGAACATTATGATTTTTGTTTGTAAATTCTCATTTTCATTTTGTTGTAATAATATTTAATAACAATAAAAAGTCAGAAATATTGATGACCAGTATAAATATATGCATTTTACAATTTCTTGACAATTAAAACATGTAATTTTACCCTGTTTAGTATTGGAAAGATAAATTGCATGTTGATGCTTGTGATTTCAAATGATAATACTAGAAACAAGTAAAAAAGTGAGTGGCAACTTGATAGTATATTATCGAGAAATTCTTCCCGTCCGGGAACAAGCGACAACAAATCCTACATGAAGGTAAACAATATAAACAGTCAAGGAAACAAATGACAAAAACACAATGTTTATAGAAATAAGAGAAATTTTATTTACAATATAAACAACAGTTAGATATAGACATAAATGAATAATACTTGAATTGCACTAATAATAGGTTTAAGTTCTATGGGATTATTCCCAGCCATTTAACATCAAACATGTAAATAAAATGACTTTTTGTACTTACTGGCAGAATGAAAAGGATATCTCAGCTCTTTTCATCAGAGGTTTGTTTCATGTGACTGCTAAGCATCTTAATAGCAGATTTTAAATTTAACTCTTTAAAATCTTGGCTTGCTCTTCTAGATATTTAAAAATTAATAATTTTGACTCACTCAAGAAATTGCCTTGAAAGGTGCAGAAATTGCTGTTTCTTTGTGAAGAAATCTTTCACTCTGTTCTGTGATTGTCAATCTTTCATGAAGATGTTGATTACTCCTGGTGTGCTGTTGTTAACGAACCTTCTTGAGTTTGGGGAGGAAGGGATGATGATGTCACTCTCTCCTCTGGCTAAAGGATCAGACCAAGATCTCCACATGCTGCCAAAAATAACTCCTGAGAGTTACAAACTCGCTCTTTTATGAGCATTTCCAAAGTGTGGCTAAATTCAAATGAGTCAATTTGCATATGCAAGAGAAGAACCTATATGGATAAAATAAACTGATCAGTTACCTTTTCTTTCCTTTTCCCACTAGTACATAAAAAAAAATCATCACTAAAGCAGATGTTAGTATATATTTGCAATAAAAAATAAAAATAAATCTCATTAAACTAGCAAACATGTCTGCTCTAATAGTTTGATATTTAGATACATATTTTTTTTTATTTTAGAATAAAATAGTGTATCTACGAAAAATGGACAAAATGTTTTTTTTTATTTTAATTTCCAACACATATTTACTCTTGTAATTTAAAATGCATTTAAAGAAAGAAATAGAAACTTAAAAATTGATGCAATCTCTAAGGAGTTTTTGTGTAAGAAATGAGATCAAAATTAAATCTTTTGATTTCCAACCTGTAAATTATTCTGATTTTGGCTTTTGTTTCTGTCTGATTTTATTTCCACACATGCTGTCATTAATAAATAATGACATTTCAAAATATTGAATTATTATGTTAGCGTCCATTATTATTAAGCTGTTGCAAGCTTTTCTTTTATTTTCAATATGAGAAACATGAAGAAAATGCTTAATTCAGCCCAATTGATGATATAATATTTTATTTCATTGTGTCACAACTAATGCAACTTATAACCAAACAATGGAAATAAAAGTATAATTACATTTCAGATAACTTTCTTCTTGAGATTTGGTTCTGCTAAATTTCCTTGAAATGTTTTTAAAGCTTCACCAGCTTCTTTTTAAGAATTTAAAATAAATATTAGCTGCCTTTAGTTGGGTACCTGAATGAGGTTAAGTTATTAGGCCACCAATTTATGACAAAAATATTAAAGATTCATCTCTAATGTCAAGCAAGTGAGGCTTAATAACAAACTTGATGAGGAAACTAATCTGATTTAAAATATACATCTTTAAGATTAGGTACTTCCACTTGGTCACATAAAAAGCAGCATAGCATGATGAAAAAAAGGCCCCAAACTCGGTAAAAAGTTTTGTCATCAAAATGTTTGCTATTATTAAGAGGAAAGACCAAAGTATTTTTTATTATTTTTTGAAATTTTTTTTACTCCTGTCTAGTGTGTTCAAAATTTTGGTTAAAAGCCTTTTTTTTTTTTTCTGACAGTGGTGAACTAGAGAAAAAGGGTTATTTTTTATTTTGTGCTTTTTCCGAGGAAAAAAACATTGATTTGGAAATTCAAATAATTGTTGAATTTTAATGAAACTTTCAGGACATATTCAGAAATGAATGAAATTATTTTTGAAATTTTTTTTTTTTTTTTTATAATAGAAAATCTTGGTAAAAAATATTTTTTCTTATAAATGTTACCACCCACTTACATAATTTCATGAAATTTCAAGAAATTACATTTTTGAAGGGAGAGATTTTTTTATTAGTTAAAAACAGCACTCTTTGGAGAAATTAAATCATTAATTTTTTTTTATTTTTTTTTTGTAAAACGGTTACCCGTTTCATTAAAAATCTGCTCTTCTTTGTAAAATAAAAAAATGAAATAAAACTATGACATTATTTAATTAGAAAAGCTTTTGTAAATAAGTTATATTAAGGACACTATTGTCTAAAGAAATAAAATTTTTTTGACGAATAATGAATTTTTACAAGAAGTTTTTCATTTTTTAAAAATTTTAATTATAATAATATAATAGTTCAAAAATCGTTTAAAAATTCTTCATTGCTTTCAAGAATGTAATTTGATGATATCATTAAGTGAAAAGTAAATTTATGAATCAAAATTTGAAAAGCTCATAACAGTCGTTTGTACTCGAATACTTTTATAATAATTTTAGAAATAATTTTTAGTGAAAAAAAAATGTTTCTAATTTCTACCTATGGGAATCTATACATGACATAATCCTTAAAAAGTCACATAATTTAAATGTTGTTTGATGCACTGCAATTATTTAACTTTTAATTCAGTTCTGTTTCATCATTAACGTCTTTTCAAATCACACCTTCAAAATATTAAAAAAAAACGGTTTTACTTTTCTTAATTACTATTTCACTAAATATTTCTATTTTATGTATTTATTTTAGTTTGGGTCATACTTCAATTAATTAATTTTTTGTTTACGGTAGTAACCTAGAGACAAAATGCAAATTTCATAAAGCTTCTTAAAAACTTAACTAAAAGTCAATAAAATAGTAAATAATGCCTGAAAATATGTTAATTTGTAAAAATTACTGGGTAATTAAAAAAAAAAAAAATGTATTTACTTAGTTTTTGTAAATATGTCATTTCTAGTCATTCATAAGAGCTGTCATCACCTTAAGAGCTTCTTGATAAATCAATAAAGCTCAAAGAGGAACCCATCATTAAAAAATGCTTGTATATTGTTTTTTTATGCTATAAGTAATATTTATTTCAAATCAGATTAATTTAACTTGAAATTTTCTAATTTTACTCAAATAACGTGTCACAAATCTATAATTTAATTTTGAAAGAATTTTAAACCTCATAAATTTGTTTGGAAATTTCTTAAGAATTAAGAAAATGGCCACTTTTAAGAAAATTTAAAAAAATTGTGCAATTATTTGACATTCCAATCTATATAATTTCTATCTGAAATACACCAGAATATTTTACTTACTGGAAATAACACATTTAATCATTTAGCTTTCAATTAAAACTAGAATGAAATCTTCAAGAATGCTTTTTCATTTTTAAAATTTAATTTTAAAATTTAGGTATCGAAAATTCAGTGGGGGTACCTATTTAAGATGATTTTATACGAAGGTAACATACAAATTCTTAAAATGCTATAAAAATATAGTTCTTTGTAAACAGGACATTGTATACTAAATCCATTCTCTTCACCAGTATAAGAAAGTGATTATTATGATATCCAAGTGATAAAAAAAATCTAAATCATTGTTAAATTGATTATTTTTTTTAACTATTGATACAATCATATCTGCACATTCTTTGTCTTCCTTTAAGAAAATTTTATTTTTGTTTACAGATGGCTTTTATCTTTCTAATTTTTTCCTTTCTTGGCAATAATAAACTTAGAGAAATGGAATACAAATCCAATCATCCCAAATCTGTAGTAGTATTAAAACAAATTTCTTTCAAGTTTCATGTTTTTTTTATCAAACATTTTTACATTTGACACCAAGAAATGCACTACCCATAACAATCTGAATTCACAAGTCACCATCTTATTTGTAGAGAAATTATAAAAAATTATGGATGCATGTAAAAAAGAAAAAAAACTTGTAAGATCCAGCCT